ACTGCGAAACTGCTGCCCCGCATGACTAAGTAGATTTACCTTCAGGACTATCTAAATTAAGGCTGTCTTCTGACAATAACCAGCACAGCTATATGCAATGTAATAATACATAGGAAACAAGACGCCTTATGTGTTTCAGTAAATCATAGATTAATTGGTTGTAAAGTTAAAGTTAAGCCAATTCATTATCCATAATAACACGCACAAAGAACTGAAGCCCATGTATAATTTAAACACCGTGCAAAATTAATGCGTGCTAGCTGGCTAATGTAAGTCTCAGTGATGCTTAAAAATAATTTCAGGTCACAAGCCATAACATGTGACGTCAAAACAACAGCTAACTTTAAGAGTGAGTGTGAGACATTCTGGAGGTGTCAATTCCCTTTTAAAATAGCTCTCAGGCTTCCATTTTAGGTTCATTTGCACTGCAATAACAGTCAATGTCGCAATAGGGTAAACATAAAAGCTGCAGATCTGTCATGATCCCAGCAGGAGCAGCACTGAGAGACGACGCGGGTCTCATCTTTTGACCCACAACCCTAACCCGTGACCCCCTGACCCAACATAGATCCCACAACAACCACGCTTCTTCATCTTACCCGCAAACCGACCCTACCCGCCTTTGTTTAGACTCGCAACCCAACCAGAACCTGCACGTTTTAAAAAAAATTCTCCCCAATAATATCCATATTTGTTTGTATGCAATGCGATTATAGCAGTGTTAAAGCACCGTGTTAAAGCACTGTATTACCTACATACTCATAATTTTAGTTTATCACACACGGCACACATTATTGACGCTGCTTAATAGTCCGTACGACATAGTGGCTGTTACAAAACCATCAGTGTAAATAGTTGTTTTCAAAATGAATATTACATTGCTTGTTTCATGTTTGCTCCTGTCAAATTCCGATTCACACATCTCTGTAATGTCCTTCACGTATATCGACCCCGCCCTATCATGTATTTGACCTCCATCAGTTAATAAACATGCACAATTCAGCGTCCAAGCCAAGCCTCCTTCTTCCTCGACTCGACCACGTGTTCGCCTCTGCTCGGGTACCCACGCTAGAGGTCCCCCGCGGATGACCCGTGATGAACAAGGGCGCCACGGTGGCGAGATGTTAACTACCTCGCCTCGTATACAGGGTGTTGTGGGTTCGATCTCGAGGCTGACGCCTCTTTATTTGGATGTCACTCTCCCTGGCACTCTCCCGGCCTGGATTTTTTTCCGGGTCCTCCGGTTTTTCTCCCCCCCACATGTAGAAACGTGCGTTTAGAGTTGAGAGGCCGCTATAAATATCCACGTGATAAGCCACTTCGTTGAGCTATTGTTTGTGGCCCGGTCGCTTATGAACACCTGTGCGCTCTTTCCGCAATATCGAATGCAGTGGGTTTGAGGGAAAACACAATGGAAATGTGGTAAATGTACCATTGAAGATACTGTATTTCTTATAGATAGTAAAACATAGGCAGGGGAGGAGAAATTACTGAAGCTTGAACTTGAACAGCAGAGGGAATTGGCAGTGCCATGGTCAGAGGAAGGGACTCACACTGACACACACTGACACACGCATTCCGTTCCTCTATGTAGCACCTGCATACAGGTGCTACTGTGGACTCACCGTGACTTGTCACATCCGAGCTGCTGTCAGATCAGATGCCCTCAACCCTCGATTTCAAGGTGTGTGTGTGAACCCTGCAACGTGGACTTGTTTAAAGGAGGGCAGGGGAGAGGGGGTTCACGGCATAAGCAATGTCAAACTATTTTTTTAAAGAAATGTTAAAAGCTCAACAGAGTAACGACAGGATCTGATTTTGTCTGCTATGCATTTTTGCTCTAGCTCTCACCGCTTAAGTATTTCTTGCACCTTTATTTTTTTTACATTTCTTTGACTTGAAAAGTGTATCATGTACGTGCCTCATGTTCTCAACTACTTTGCGCTTATAAAAACACACAACTAAGAAGTGCGTTTTAAGCTTTTATCCAAGACAATTGGGATTTCTCAGACATTTTGATGCGACCGCATCATCGCCAGATGCTGTACAAACGGTGGTGACAAACGTGCAGAAAAGTAATTTAAAGAATATGGCTACGTATGTTTACAGAAAGGAGATAAATAATGTAGTGGGTTTGAGGGAAAACACAATGGAAATGTGGTAAATATATAATTTAAGATACTGTATTTCTTATTGACAGATAGTCTGGGGAGAAGGGGAAATTACTGAAGCTTGAACTTGAACAGCGGAGGGAATTTGCAGTGTCATGGTCAGATGGAAGGGACTCCAAGACCCCATGGCCAACAATACAGAAGATGTGGCCTGCCATTGATCAAGAGGTTGGCCAAAAACTCAGCCAGTGCTTTAGTTACATGACTGCCTCTCAGTGTTTCAGAAGTTTCACTCTGAATGTTTCATAACTCGATCCACAAATAGGTTTTCCTGAGTTTTATTTTTGAAAAAGCATTTTCAATGCACAACACATTTGCACACTTGTGTCACAAAGACGAGAGGGCATTCAATTGTTATTGACAATGACGTACAAAACAATCTAAGATTTGGTTTATTAAAAAATCTACGTTTTAAAAAGATAAATATAGTCTTATTATTCATCATCAAGGTGTTGTTTTTCAATCATCTTAACTGCTAGACAGTTAAGATGATTGTGGCAGTGTGAGATGATGCAGCGCATAACTGTGTATGACTCATTGCAGTGTTTGTGTCGTAGTCTGTGCCAAATGTTTGGCTTTGTACATTATACAGTACAGTCCATTATCATTTATCAGAGCTAAAGTCAAATATAAGCTGATGCCTATACTTTTCCGTATTTTGACAATTTATGATTCTATTAATTTCATTTTAAAGAATGTAAAAAAAGTTTTATGTAACAGAAATCTATTTTTGTAGTTTATGAATATTTTGCTTATGCTGTAGTTTAAACTGATTTGCATGCATCCCTCAAACCTGGGGTAGGAAACTATTCCTAACGGAGAGGCCGCATAGAACTTTCACCTACCTATGGTGGGCCACACATGAATACACACCACAGTTATCTCTGCCACTGCAAGATAACCTTAGGATGCCACTGCTGCAGTGCCAGAAGTCACAATGTGGCCAGGTCACAGTGATATTATTTCCAGGTCAAACATATTCCCCATCGAGTACCCAGATCGTGCGGCTAAGATGATTGCATATTGTAGTTTGTTTGCGGGCTGCTTTCAATAGTGATGGACTTCATGTGGCAATGGGCCACCCTTAGGTTGGAGCTCCTCACCGTCGACCTTAAGGAGATGTTAACTACCTCGCCTCGTATGCAGGAGGTCGTGGGTTCGATCCCGACCCTGACGCCTTTTATTTATTTGAAGTTTGCGTGTCTCTCGCACTCATCATCATCATCACGGTGTCTAGGAGATGTTGACTACCTCGCCTGGTATGCAGAAGGTCGTGGGTTCAATCCCGACCCTGACGCCTGCTGCTGTATATTGGGAGTTTTCATGTCTCTCTCTACCCGTGGTCGCGTGGATTTTTCTCCAGGTCCTCCGGTTATTCCCCTTCACATTTAGAAATATGGGTTTAGAGTATTTGGCTGCTATAGATTTCCACGTGATAAGCCACTTCGTTGAGCTATCATTTGTGGCCCAGTCGCTTCTGAAAAAGAGCTGCATAGCTCAATGGGCTTTACCTGGTAAACTAAAACATTATTTAGTTTTTTTTCAAGTCTGGTGTTCATTATGGCTGCAGTCGTTTCATCACTCTACCCAATTTTGGGGTTGAGAAAATATCGTTGACTCACACTGGGTCTACGATGTGGTCACTGGTCATAGACGTCAATATTTAGACGGTGATTGATGCATTGCGGCATTGTCTATAGTATTCTTCACTTCTAACGTTAAGGGGTGGTTTTAAAGGAGACCAATTAAAAATACCATGCTTTTACATTTTTTTTATATGGCGCAATTCATGCATTTTGCATCTCACAACTCTTCACGATTTGCATTGCACGGAGGCGCGAGGAACTCCAGAAAAGCGGGGAGGTAGCCTGGCAGTGAGCCAGTGCCAATGATTTCCCAAGCTCGAAGCACATCTATATATGAAGGTATGTTCAGCCAATTACTGTAATGAGTGGTTATACATGTGGGAGGAGCTGGAACACCTGAAGAAAACTCACTCACGCGTGCAAGGGGGCAGCGCTTTAGATGGAGATTAGTTCACATTTGCTGTACCGCCTTCTCCTGGGAAGCCAGGGTATGGCAACTCGACACTCATGGGGAGTTTGACAACATTTGTGTGATCCACAAACTCTCGCCTCCACAGTGCTTGATCACAGGCATGTGCCTGCATCTCCTCAAAACACATACTTTTGAATCTTGGACTAAGCTAAATTATAACCAGAATCTTTATCCTGGACGAATTTGATGAGCTATAAAGCTCTTCTTCACAAATGACCAAATCACCTGGAATGTACTCAAGATATGGAGCGTTGAACGTAGATGGTGCTTGAATGGACAACCACCTTGCATCAATCAGATGATGTAGGCTGCTGCCTGGCCAAGTCGCGGGCAGCACAAGGCAGTGCAGTACAACATTTTGATGTACTGGACTATGCTGCAAGGTCTATGGTCCCTGCCTTGACCACCAGCGTGGTTAAGTATGGTGAAATAACCCCCCACGACCTGCTCGGCATGGGGAAACACGAATCTAAATTGTCTTATGGTTGTTATTGTTTGACTTGCATCCCACTGGGATTTTTGCACACAGCGTTGATATACGGTGCTTTTTTTCTGGAAGACTTTGTTGTTTTTTCCTGGAGCTTTCTGTTGCGTCTAGTCACTTTAAGATGTTTCTTGTTCATGTTTTTGTTTGTTGCGGTTGCACCCGAGTCAAGAGCCGCGTGGCTCACAGGGTTATACCTCATAAATGAAACTGAACTCATCTAGCAGTGGATTGACAAAACGGCTGTATGTGTGGACTAGATTATGGTCACAACACAACACACCACGCAATATTCATTGTTTTTCATTTATTAAAGTATTCTCAATATTCTCATCTTAAGATCAGCACCTGAGGCTCAGGTACACATTGCTTAGTGCTACCATCTGGGCAATAAATATGCAATGACGAGTTGCTGCAGATCTCAATTGCATTGAGCTTTGTCCAAAACGTTATTCTGTGTCCCCATTTTAAGGCAATGGAATTTACGAAAGAATGTGTTTATTCATTGTCCTTGTGCAAATAATTATTAACATTCGCGACATTGGTTCAGTTTAACATGGCAAGATAAATTATGTTTTAACTCTCCATCCATAACTACACCTTCATATTTATAAGGAAAGCATATTTGTATCAATCGTTACTGATACAAAAAAACAGGAAAAACGTTGTAAGTCATGAAACAATAAAAAGGCAAATATAGTCTAAATTGAGTACAGTATTACTATCATTGATAGTATTGGATGTGTTTTTTAAATATAAACTATTGCATACAAATTAAAATTGAGATAAAAAATCCAAACATAACTGAGACACACACGTGTATGTGGCTCGGTTACATTCAAGACACCTGTGTGCAGACACCACACATCACAACTAAGCAGAAGTTTGTTTTAAAACTCAAAGAAAGTGCACACGTACGACTGTGTTTGCAACGCCACCACCACCACCACCACGAACGGTGATCTAAGCGCATTCTTCACTGACCGCAACGCATTCCAATGCAACAACGTACAGCGTGAGTGCAATCATTGTGACCTGCTGCGTCACAAGATGGGGTATACACGATGTGCAGGACACAGAGCCCCCGTGGTCGATCTAGGATTCCCTTTTTCCCCGTTTTGGCAGTGCTGTGGAAGTCTGCCATTACGGGCAGCGGATTCACTTGTGAGCACTGCATTGAGCTCTGCAATTGCACAGATTTCAGTGTGCAGTACAGACGAAAACATCGTCCCTCAAGGTTATGATTGTGCTCAAGGGCAGCAATGGTTCATTGTATGACGTGTAAAATATGGCTTGTTTGCAAATCAAGTGCAATTTTTATCATAGTGAATTAAGGGAAACCAGAATATTGCTTTTGGGAACATGTGCCATTAAAACGTAGCCCTGTGTAGCTAAAATGCATTTTCCCATTTAAAACCGCTATCAATATTTCCTATTTGTAAACAAACCTTAGCATACGTACATTAAAAAAAAACTCCAAATTAATATCTTTGGGAGGCAGACGTTTTTTTGTTGCATAGTGCATTAAACATCACCAGCATTTTTGACAGTGGCATCATTGACAAGCTACGGTGGAAATCCCTTTTCCGTCTTCAATCGGCATCCCATTGGCTCTGGTGTTGAACCGACAATGCTGGCATTTTTAGTGAATTTGAGCACTCTCATCTTGAAGAGTAGATATTCCTCTGCGTCTCCTGCACATGATCTCATTACACCAAAGGACGCTGGGATGGAATAGAAACAAACACGAACCACATTAGTGCAAGGCGGCGATGGTCAACAGAGAGGTTACATAACCCAGCGCGCTTGAGCCACGCTGATTTCCAATGACATTGCAGAATAAAGTTTTGTATGTTTGTTGAACTTCTTTCGCACCGTACGTAGCCAACCGCACTAATCAGAGGTGCGGAGGAAGGACATCAAAATAAACACAAAAAGCAGTTCTAAAGAAATGCGTTTCCAATCTAAATTTTAAAGTGCATAGCTCCAGTGGAATCCTATTATCGGAAGAAAGAGTGTTCCAAGCGGCTGCAGAAGCGCATCTGAAAGTGTGCGATGCAGTAACTGTCTTTGCTCGATGGTGAGACAAAAGCTGCTGCGAGGATGACCAGAGTTTGCGTGATGGTTTATGCTCCTCGATGAGATCATCAAGGTATTGTGGTTGACTTGTGGCAACAGCACAGTGCAAAACTGCTGACCCCAGCTTAGTTAATCCAGCTGAGGTCCATGCATTCCCACTAGCCTCTGTTAACGTGGCAGAGTTCGTCAATAGCTACAGAAGTTAATTAACGTGCAGCAGTGCCCATCTGTTATATAGCACTTTGAACACGTGGCCATGAGATGGCAGTACAGCGAATGGGTTCACAAAATTACCCTCCAACCTCTCAAAGAAGCCACGACTGGATGAAGACCTGGGTCAGTCATGGGGGTAGTCTGACCAAATTTCACAGTTCTGGTCAATGTCAGAAAAGTTAATTTTACTTGATTTTCATCTCCAATTGCCTCCGTATATGAAGTATATGCTTTTAAAATAACTCTGCCAAACATCTCAATGCAGGAGCCTATTGTAAAAGTGTCAGGAGACTTACTGGATTGATAAATAAATGTTAGCATTAGAACCGTTATGGGAATTTTTACCCTTCAGGAGTGGGGTGCAGTTCTTAATCGTACAGATGGAGTTGCTCCAGTTTGATCAGCTCACCAAAACGACTGAATTGTGGCACCTGCTCCGACTTTAACGGTTATCCTAGAGCAGTGGTTCTTAACCTGGAGTGCATGCATGCTCTGGGGGTGCGAGATGCCCTTTATGGGGGTGCGAGACGTGGCCAGATTTCTTTAGACGGTAAATCATCAAGAACACAAATTAAGCACGGGCATGTAAGTACAACTCCTTTGTTCCATCAAATCGATGTATTTGTTAACATTATACATTTTTAAACGATTGAAAACCAAAGTGGTGCAAGGCTGCAGTAAAGGTTAAGAATCACTGTCCTCGAGCATAAACTGCATCGGTGCTGTCTCATTGTATTTCACCCACCACACGCGGGAGAAAAACAAACCCGTGTCTAACCCTGCGGAAGAGCAGTCTTGGAGACTCGGCGAAACCTTCACGAAACCTTCACGAAATTGATACAAATTGTGTTTGTTTTCAATGAAAGCACCTCAAGAACAAAAACGGGATGACTGCAACGGCGGACGCGAGGAGGAAAACCAAGCAGGAAAACCATCCCACGGTGACGGCGTAGACGTTGTTGAACACCACCGATCCCACAATGCCAGCCAGCAACTCCAAGGATCCCACCAACGAGAAGAGCGTTCCTGCAGAGGCACGACGAAATCGAACGTGCCAACACCGCAAAAGCAACGCAACAGCCGCGACAGAAAACACGGCAACCATCGCCGTGTAGAATACGACCACGGCCGCAGTTCTCATATAATGTGGTGTGTACGGTGCAACTTGGGGAAGTGGTGGTGTAGTGGTTAGCACACTGTGCTGTGAACCCAGTCACGGCTAACATCAGTGGCGAGTTATATCTGGAACTGTTCCTGTGCACCCACCTTTCACCAAACTGCGTGGACCAGCGTGGTGAAGTATAATCAGTTAACCCCCCACTACCAGCACAACGTAGAGCGGCCCTCGTCCCACAGTAGATTGTGTAAGGGCTGCAAATAATAATAGGAATTATTATTGCCGTAGTTTATTGTTGTCTACACCCTGAAGTTGTCCTCAGATTAACGGCCGTGGTCCTCTTGGGATATGCAAGTCTAATGTGCATTTGTGCACGTAAATTGTATGGAAAATCTGCTGCGGTGTTTGCAAACCACGCACTCCCACCATACCTTGCTCGCTTGGCAAAACGGTCTTGGACATCATAGATCTCATTACTGCGACGGGCATGATGGTAAACATCAGGGGTAGGCGCACTGCACATTAAATCCGACAAACAGGAACAGAGAGAGGCTTCTGAGTTTAACACGTAGGCTTAACAACACATATTTAGGCAATCTAACCCCCCCCCCCAAAAAAAAAAAATACATTATGGAGAGGCTTCTCAGTTTACGTATTTCTCAGCGCTGTTATTCTTTTTTAACAGAAAAAGTCCACTTTTGCTGCAGGTGCCCAACATAGCAATGCTATCTCTGAATATAATTTAGTTTGATATTGCTGGGAAGAGCGACCAACGTGCGTTAAATGTGTTATGGGTGGCTGCAGGGCTGCGTCGCGGGCAGTGAAGCAAAATCCATCGTTGTACTGTACTGATCTCCCACCGCTGCGCTCCCCCCACCATCGCCAACCCACACCGACCCAAATGGGATGGGAGGGATCATATTCAGCGGCGAGATTGATGATAGGGCTGTACATATACATTATGCATTTCTTGCACTGACATTGATCCGCATTAAATGTACGACTGCTCCAAAATTCCCAACGCAAGAAACAAAGGAATGAGTCACACAACGTCAACTGAAATGAAGTGGCCCTCCCCGCAAAAAAAGAGTCTGCCAGGGTTAAAGGGGATTATTAAATAATGGGAGAGGGAGGGGGAGATCATGGGAGTTGGAGAGGCGCATTGAGGGGCTCGGTGCTGTCGCGGTTTTGGGGGGTACATCTTTGGATATTCAGTTCCTTCCCTTAATCGTGAATCACCACCCATGCCAGATGCCAAACACTCTCCGTTGGCATTCACCCGTGGTTATTTCAGTTCGAGTTTTAATACGTGACGTATCAATTGTAAAGCTAGATCCGAGTTTAAAATTCAACAAAACAATTTTAATTTTGGCACACGTCGTCGTGTTACTTTGGTATCATCGCATTACAGAATTGCATTTTAAACTTTAATAAGAAGTACTACTACTGTACACTGACAAGAAAAAATAAATATAATAAGCAAAATTTCGAGGAATTGGCCAGTATTCATGGCAACTGCAGCTCTTCACAGCAGAGATATCGACAATGGAGGACGATTTCCCAACACATCACCTATTGTATATTTATTCCTTTTAGGACAGAGTTATTGAATGAATGTGCTTTTATAATTTGTCTATTTGCTTTTGCACAACTGCTAAACGTAGTATCACAAAATATGTTGATTGAAAGCTGCGCAGATATATTACTTTATCAGCCCATAAAAATCCCAAGGCCTAGGCCCGCAGTCCAGAAAGCCCCGTGCGTGAATCCGGTCCCCCGAGCCGGCGCGTACCGAGGAACATCATGAGCGTGGTTTTCACGCCGCAGATCATCGCCATCCCTACGGTGAACGTGGAGATGCCAATGAGGGCGATGGGCGGGTCGGAGAGGCAACGCGAGAGGACCGTCACGCCCACGAAGCTCGTGATGAAGATGGCGAAGCCCACTGCCGAGCCGTAGCCCAGCAGCAATGCGTCCCAGCACAGAGGCGCCTTCATCTCGAACAGAGACACGGGCAAGGAGCCGCCTATCTCCGCCAGCAGGTAGAAGGTGAAGGCTGCGAGCAGCAGCGCGAGACGCCACCGCTTGCTGCCCAGGCCGGTGCCGCAAACCCCGCTGTCCACCTCTGTGGAAGGGGCAACGGGTTCGGAAAAAATCGCGCGCGGATTTACGTGGCGATTTTCCTAACGTGGGGGTGTTTTTGTTCTCTTGCCTACAGGCGCAACACTTGTGCCTCCACTGCTAAACTTCGGTGCAGGGTTTAAATCGAGTGATGTGCAACCGATCGTGCATTTCTTTTCAAGTCAATACGTTACCACAGAACAGGTTGCTGAAGCTCTTGTAGTTTTGCTTCACAAGCTTTGTGAGGACGTTCCTCGTCTTTTGCGCCTCCGCTGGAATGCGCATTCGGATCTCCGCTGCGCTGTCGCATATCGTGCTCGAGTCATCTTGTTCGTCCTCGGCCGGAATCAGTGACTCCACCTGGTGGTCAACGAAACACGGTGGGGGCTCATGGCACGGCCACAAAGACAAATATCCCCTTTATAGCCTGAAACAGACTGGCGGGGCAAGTGCTGTTAGCGAGCACCTATGAAGGCCGGCACGGCACACGAAGGGGTGGGTGGCCAACACCAAGCGCCGCGGTGGGACAAACGGCACGGTGGTGGTCGCGCGGAGCGGTGTAGTGCACGAGCGTACCTGAATATCCTTCGTGATAGTCTCCTCGAGGACGCATGCCACGTAGATGATACAGAGCACCAGGATGAGGCACACGCACAGGTACACGTATGCGTAGCCCATCGCCTGGAGCATGTGGCCCGAGATGACGGCACCAATGCCGCCACTCATCCCTGTGTCACAGACAGATGGGGACGACAGAGAAATAAAATCGACACTGTCTTTTTTGACGGACCGGTCCCATCATTATTTTCTACCATGAACCATCCACTGCTGGATGAAGTCCTCCCTGAGCCGTCACCATCTGCCACGGTCTCGCGATGCAACAATCGGTCGAGCCCCAGCATGAAAGGCAATCTCATCGTTCCAATTTGACGATGGGCGTCCACTCTTGGGCATGTTCCTTCCTGCTCTTAGTTTTTCGGTAAAGTCACGTAGGTAAAAAATGAAATAAAAATTAATAAAAATAAAATAATAAAATGTATTAATTTTAATTTTTTACCTCCGTGACTTTAATTAAAAAACTAAGATTATGAATCCTTGCAGTCACGAAAGCTTCAAATCTAGAATGTTCCTTCCTATGATTGCCACTCCGTGACCACCGGACATCATTCCTTCCTTGTGAAATGTCCTGCCCAAGCCAATTAACTTTTCCTCACAGTCGACATGATGTCTCTCATGTATGCATGCACTCTGATTCATGTGGACTGGAGATAAACAGGAGCAACACAAAAGTCACTTACAACAAGTTTGCAAAACCACTGAAGATATCCATTGGAGGGACACAACTCAAAAACGGGATACAAAATTATGAAATAAAGAGTCGAGCAAAAAGTAGGATGGCATGCATTTGGAGAAATAAAAAAATAAAAAATCTACAAAGCTAAAGAAGATAGTTTTGAATCATTGCCTCCTGCGACACGTGGATCACAAACAGAGACAAGGAAGAAGAGCACGGAACAAAAGCTGAAAAGCTTGCCAAGAGGCGTAGTCCCATGAGCACATAACAATTCAACGCGACATTTTCCAGTGCTCCTTGTGGGGTGGGGAAAGGCGAGCAATCTCGTAGGCTGGCTACGTACGGTGAAAAATAATTTCAACATACATCGCGGAATACCCACATTAACAATGTTGTACGTGAATGCAATTGGCACCAGGTCACGCACCGAGCAGCATGTCCAGACAGGCCACGCGCATGTTGAGGTTGGCAGGGTTGGCCACGTCGGTGAGGTACGCAAAGCTTCCGGCCAGGATGGAGGCGTAACCTCCTGTCGCCCCGCGCAGCAGGCAGCCCAGGTATAGCCAGGGCAGAGGCAGCTCCAGGCTCACGATGAGAATGTAGATGATACTGCGGGAGGAAAGGGGTGAGAGATGCCATCGAGTGACCAGCCGCGCGGCGCGGTGGTAACAATTGTACGTCACACCAAACAGGGCCTGCGTTTGATTGTAATTCGCGACTCAGGTGCCTGTATGTTATGTTTGCCCCATGTTGTTTCTGCATTGGTTTCTGCCAGGTTCTCTAGTTTCCTCACATGGCAAAAGCAAAAGTGTATCTTGAATTGGCAAAATATCCCGATGCCGAAAATTTACCTGCAAATTATTCGATTTGGATTTCACACACGGCAACGTCGCCCTCTGCTGCGAAAAACTTGGCAGCACCCTCCTGAAACAAGTTGCCGAGACTCGGCGAGGCTTTTCCCAAGTGAACGAGTGTGAGATGAGACAAGAGAAATGCAGACGTGAGACAGAGATGCAGGGAAAGTACAGATGAAGTCAGAATATGGAGATGTAGGACATTTTAAAATAAAGCTGCAGAGAAAGAGATATAGATGTAGTGAGATGAGACAAAATAGATGTATTCAGAAAGATATGGCAGATAGAATAAATGAAATATGTAGTCATCGCCAATACACGAGAGATAGGAGGTGCATTCAGCGGATGTATAATATGAACGAGAATGATGATGTACGGGGATAAGAGGACATGCGTATAATACTCAACAAAGCAACGTCTTCCCTCATCAGTCTCTCCACCTCAAAACGTGTCACGTCACGCAAGGAGCCAATATGCCGAGCAAGCCACGTTACCTTTTATCCATTAAATCTCTAAGCCGTGGAAGGCCATTTCTATCGGTGAATTTGAGTAATACCGCCGACTAGGAAGCTGCATTTGGCTCATAGGTCACAGATTGTAGAACTGCTTTGTGTGTTTAATCTTGATTTGAAGCTTTCGTGACTGCAGGAATCCATACTCATTGGTTCTTTCGGTAAAGTCTGTTTGTTGTCCTCCCGCACCTCTGATTAGCACGGTCGGCTAAATACGGTGCGAAAGAAGTTCAACCTACATGCATAGCTTGGACGGCCTTCCACTCACGAGTGATGTGTGAACAACAACGACATACCAGGGACGTGCGGTCAGGGGAGTTAGCTATCACATCTGCCTCACCGAGGGGGACGTTTCGATTTGAAGCTTTCGTGACTGCAGGGATTCATCTTCTTGGTTCTTTCGGTAAAGTCACGTAGAATGGAAATAATAAAATAATAAAAATAAAACATAATAAAATAATTCTCACGACGTTTCGGCCACAACGCAAGCAGCCGTCCTCAGGTGAAGAACAGGTCTGTCGAGAAGATAGAGTCTGAAGCTTAAATAGACGCTCCAAGCCCAGGACATGTCATTCAGACTTTGTCTTATCGACGGATCTGTTCTTCACCTGAGGACGGCTGCTTGCGTTGTGGCGGAAACGTCGTGATAATTATTTAATTATGTTAAATTTTTATTATTTTATTATTTCCATTCTACGTGACTTTACCGAAAGAACCAAGAAGACGAGGGGGACGTGTCTAACACGCCCCCTCAGTGAGGACACGCCCCCTCAACGAAACCACGCCCCTCAATGAGGCCACGCCCCCTCAGTGAGGACACGCCCCCTCAGCGAGACCACGCCCCCTCAGCGAGGACACGCCCCTCAGCGAGACCACGCCCCCTCAGCGAGGACACGCCCCCTCCGTGAGGACACGCCCCCCTTAGTGTGTGAATCTGGCTCTGACACGAGGCAGTGCCTCCCCAGCCATTGACCTCACCGCCCGTCACAGCAACATACCTCTCCACGCTGTAGCCAATGCAGGGCAGTATCATCATGAGACGGCGCCCACTGGTGTCGCTGTACACGCCCAGCGCCAGCGAGGCCAGCACGGCCGGGAAGAACCCTACGAGGTCCAGGCGTACCTGGAATAGGGACGCAGCTGCCTGTGCCTCCTGCAATCGTGGCAGGCACGGAGGAAGTCCCATTGAATGAAAAAGCTCTACACATTGGTCCTAACGGGATACAAATGTTGTAAAAGGTAACGTTTTGGGTAACGACCCTGTGTCATAGCATGTAGATGGTGAAGGGCCCACGTGCAGAGCCGGCCCTAGACCTTTGGGGGCCCTAAGCAAAATTTGGTTGGAGGCCCCTTTTGATGTATGATTTTTTTCACCCACTCGCTAGCAGTGACTCTAGGGGGCCCTCTGCTGGCCACGGGGCCCTTTGCAACTGCAAGGGTCGCTTAGTGGCTGAGCCGGCTCTGGCCACGTGCGATTGTAAAGGAGAGCCGACACAAGGTTGCAGGGGGTTCGTCTATTAATCCTTTTCTCCCATCCACACCTGTCCCCAGTCGTCCCGGTCTCGTTCCTGCCAAAGGCCCCTTCTTCCCGCCCGTTCTCCCCTTATATCTCCTCGATTACCCCTCCCACTAACCCTCCTATTGGTGGGAATCCTTCCCCTGACACCCCTACACTATTAAGGAGGGCTATTGCGAAGTACGTCACCTTTTATACATATATAGTTTTCCTTTGAAGGCCACATCTTCGATTCGCACGGTTGGCTTTGTACAGCACGAAATAAGTTCAACATTCATATGCAAACAAAGTGTTTTTCATGTGTTGAGTTTTGTTAATCTGTGATTGTGCACCACTGCCAACGCAGCAGCATAACTAATGAATTCATTAATGAGCGTTATTGCCATTCCACAATAATGACAGCACTTACATTATGGGGGCCGACAATGCCCGCAGTGGTGAACGAAAACGACCACGTGAGAGGCGGTTCGTGAAAGGTCTTCACAATAGATTTACGCTTGTTTCAGAGATTAGGAGATGTTTCAGTGTTAATATGGTTTCGCGTTATTGTTCCAGCTCGCGTCAGCACGAATGATGATCGTCAACGGCCAGTGCTGAATTAAAGCCTCCCGAAACCTGCCACCGTCCCCCACGCTTTCACGACCCAAGCACCCGTCTAGCTCCTGCTCACGAGTTGATCTCATCGCTTCTTCCCCTTGGTGGACATCACCCCGGGCGCCGGTTCCTTCGTTGGCACGCCACTCCGTCGTCAGAATTTCAGAAGAATTTCAGAATCTCGATTTATCCTGCAGAAATCCGATGAGCTATGAAGCTCTTTTCCCACAGATGTCCAGTAGGGGCACGGGGTCAGGAGGTTACAGCCTCGAGCACCGGCTATCATCTCGTCCAGACATGTGTCCTGCCCAAGCCCGCTTACTTTTCCTAACAGTCGGTCTGATGACGAGCAACGTGCAGAGGGAGGAACACGTGGATCGGAGAACAAACACAAAATGACGGTACATGTAGTCAGCAGTCATCTCGTCACCTTGTGCCGTCAGTTCGAGTACGACCTCTGGTGATATCTATGACCGGACTCTGCCATCTCGCTGCCTCTCGTAGCTGGATTAGTGTGTAAGGCCAGTGGTGTTCTTGATGTCGTCCATCCAACTCCTCCGAGGTCAACCTCTGCCCCTGCTACCCTCTCCACTCCCAAGCAAGACCCAATTCCTCTAGTCCAGAGGTCCTCATGGTAGTTAGCATTAGGGATGGATTAATGTTAATTCTATGGCCGGATTAATCTAAATCTTTGTATGAATGGTATGTTTTGTTCTTGAGTCATTGTTAGGGATTCATGTTTGTGTTTGTATTATATCTTATGTTAGAGGTGGGAGTGTCTTAATTCACAAATTAGATTTGTGGGATTGTGCAAGTCAAGCACTGTGCTTTCACCAAAACTGTACTAAAACATCAATGATTTTAAGATTCCTCCTTTCGTATCTGTGAACATACTTTGAGACCACAAACACACACTGGCTCATTCACCGAAGTCCACCTGCACTTTGGCATGCTGTGCATTCCACAAAATTCAATATGGGGGTCAACACCCACTCCTCCCGACATTCAGCCCATGGGTCAAATTCGGCCCACGACTTCAATTCATACCGCCTGTGGCTATAAGAGCCCTGCAAACGCTATTTATCCGTCACTGCAAGAATCTGAGCCGTGTTTCCAATTCACAACAAGAACCAAACATCAGAGCCGAGCCCCAATGTTTTTGCGCATCATCACTGGACAACGCTAATGTGCGAGTCAATATGTGGTTGCTCGCCAAATGTATTCTCTCAAGTCCTATTCGACCTTCGGCAGGGTTCTTCACTAATTTTCAGAGGGGGGCCACTTACTCAGATAAGACATCATCAGTGTGAGGGCCGCCACACATTTGAAACCACTGGGGTTTTGACATCACGATGATGGGAAGGTGGGGTTTTCCCGTTCGCGTACTGTCGGGGGCCCGCACGTCACCGGCCGCACTAAAGACCGCCAGGGGCCCGCGAGTGGCCCGTGAGCCTTGCAATGAAAGCACACTGCCCGAAGAGAATCGACACCGCAGCAAGGGTCGGCCACGTCAGACGCGGCCAGCTCGTGGTGGCGCACGTGTCTCGCCAGAGCAGCTGCCACCACAGCCACGCGTCCAACCCCCGCTGCGAGGGCCGCCGCCACCACCTGGTGTTGCCGCCCGTGTCGTGGTCGTTAAAGCGCCGCAATCCCCCCCCCCCCCGTCAAAGCTCCTGCGATTACGACTGCCCTTTGTATGTATGAATGTTGAGCTTCTTTCGCGCTGTATGTACTAATCGGAGGTGCCGGGGGCGGGGGTTGGACAACAAACAAAACGCAATAAAACCCAAAGCACCTAGAATTCTCACCATCTCGGAACATCTCGGAAGATAAGCAGGGCTGAGCACGAACAGTGCATGAATGTCTGGTCACCGTACACAGACAGGTTACCGTAGACGGTTCCGGGGGCAGTGTCATATAGTGGACAGCAGAGGGCAGCGTAGCAACATCCATTGTACTGTACTTGTATGCGCCCCTGTTTTTGCACCCCCACCAACCCGCACTGAGCAGTGTGGTGAAGATCAATTTAATTCTCCATGACATGCACGGGGTGGGTAGGCCCTCATCCAGCAGCGGATTTCCAAAACGGATGTGCATGTACCAAGGCCGTAGCCATGGAGTCAACGTTGGGGGGGACCAAATCTTCCAGGGTATCTGGGGGTCCCAACCCAGAAAAATATCTACATTTGAAAACTCATTTCCTGCCTAAAATATAAAAAAATTCACGAACACATGGAATGGACTTTTTCTTTCTTTTTTACAATGTATAATAGTGTATTGTACAGTATTACATTGCTCTGTTTTTACTTTTTTTACCATTTCTTGTTGCATTGTATGTAATGGCAGAGATTAGGATTAATAAAGTACAACCATAATCACAATCATATAAACATAAATCTACGCATTGATTTATATGAAGACAAGTCCAGATATTGTGGCCAAGGTTGATCAAATTGTTGTTTTTATTTACATAGCATAGCAATTATTTTTTTATAGCAATATATTGGGGGGGGGGGAGATTTTTAGCATATTTGAATATTGGGGGGGGGGGGGGATATATGTCCCCCCCCCCCCCAATATATATTATAACTACGGCCTTGACATGCACTGTACATGACTCCGCCTGGGTGTGGCAATACTCGCCTGTGGTGGGGATTGATGGATCACGCAGAGATGGGAGTTGTGCCGTGAACAAGACTCACACCTCGGTGACATGGCCTAGCTAGCGGTAGCGCGTTTGCCACGGTTTGAATCCAGCGGCCGCTTCGATTACTACCGCGTGTGGAATAGCCACGGCAAGGCTGCCACGCGCCGTCTGCTTCACAGGGGACGTCAAAGATCGCGCGATGTCATTCACGAGGGGGGCCGTTGTGTGTTGGCTTGATGGTCCTAATTTGCTAAACCCGCAAATTGTTCAACTGGGATTCTACACAGCAGCAATCATTGCCCCCTACTGACAAGACTCATGCCCCCAAGTCTCTCAGCGGCTTTTGACAAGTCTTAGAACAAAGTCGGTCACTGGATCGCGCGCTTTCGGATGCGCTTCTGCGGCCCTCTGGAAGGCTCCTTCCTTCCGATACTCGGAAGCCACTAGAGCTATGCACTTTTAAATCGAGATTGAAAACTAATTTATTTAAAACTGCTTTTAGTGCATAGTTTGGTGTCCTTCCCCCGCATCTCCGATTAGCACGGTTGGCTACGTATAGTGCGAAAGAAGTTCAACACACGTGCAGGTCATTTTTGCAAATAAGACTATCCTGGTCTCTTGAGATCTCACCTGCTTAAACGAAATAAACTTTAATCTAAGCCTCCATGGCTTGCGCTTTTAGAAGGCAGTACAGCAGGTAGTTGTTTTTACAAAGTGACTTTGTGAGTGTGCGTGTTATTTGCGAGTGTGTGCCAGTTTTATCTGGGCAACTCTGGTTTTCTCCCAAATGCAAAAATATAGAATTTGCGACACTCTCCGAAAATAAATCCTCCAGAAAAATATGACTTAGATTCAGCAACACCTTCTTAGGGAAATTTACATTTATGCGTCACTTTTATATTTATACGTAACTTTCATGAACGAACTACTGTATTCGGATGCCATGGAAAATGTTGGATCCATAATTCATAAATGCTCTCCGTGTAAGAAACTTAACATGTCCGTCAGTCATAAGCATTCACTTGAATTATTTATTGATGGTACAGACAAAACATGTATTTGGGTTATAAGCTATTACCTCTTACTTTGGTTAAAAAAAAAAGCTGAACAAAGATTTTGACCATGATAATTGCATGGGGTTTAAAAAAACGTTTAAACTCTCTCCCAATTCCTGGAAATGGTTTTGTATGGAGGTACAATTGAAGTGTTTGGTGGTGGGACTAAAACCATACAATTTCATCGGCATTTTCTGGTTATAGTAAAAACAACTCAAACATTTACGCAATGCAGAAGCAGGTCTTTCTTGACGACTGTTTTGATTCCCTGTTTTGACTGGAGCCACCAGCTGGCTGCAGCATTAGTCGGACACTTTCCGCATGGGTGCCCAAATCATGGTCAGACTAATGTGATGTGGCAAATAAAAACCCAATGCGTGCCTCTCTACTGCCCACAACCCCTACTGCACCTGGCGTGTGAACGCTTGGTGGTCACTAATCTAAGCACTGTCCAGGCTCGGCTCTGCTTAGTTTTTGTGATTGGATGACGGACGCAATACGGGCGATTTGGTCGTCCCAGCGACAAATGAGTGTAAACGCAGCCCTGACCCACGTCTCAACCGCGCCGTCTCACCTTCTCGAGCTCGTCTTCGACATCGCTGCCGTTGGGACTGCACGTGGAGCCAGTGCTGTCGTTGGTGCTGAAGTTGCCCAAGCGGCGGTAGATGTACTGCTGACTGAGCGGCGACGTGAGGAAGACCGCGAAGGCAAAGAGCGCCACAATGGGCTCCACGGCGCGCACGCAGCCCATCCTGCAGAGCTGTAGCGACGGGCCCACCGTCTCGCTGTCAGATCCACCGAGCTGAAAACACAGAGTGTGGCAAATGTCGTGCTTTTTTTCTCTCCCCGCTGGTACATCCGAGCAGAGCCGACGCGCGGCCAACGCCCTCATGGTACGGGTGGCTTCCCACTTGTTTCCCGTGCCGGGCTGTAACAAAACCGTGATTGCGCTTTGACTAACGAAACGTCTGAATATGACTCGGGGCCAAGCAGGGCCAGCAGAGCCAGAGGCGGGGCCTAATGACGCGTTCGTTGTGCGTGTGACTTTAAATTTCAATTTCAAGCTTTCGTGACTGCAGGGATTCATCTTCTTGGTTCTTTCGGTAAAGTCACGTAGAAGGGACAGACCTGGTCTTCACCTGAGGACGGCTGCTTGCGTTGTGGCCGAAACGTCGTGGGAATTATTGTTTTATTTTTATTATTTTATTATTTCCCTTGTACGTGCGACTTTAGTCAGTACACTGCGAGGGCACGGCCGTCACCATGTCGTCTGCATGCGCTTCGACTCGTTCGTTGTGTCTGTCAGAACACCGAGGGCTCAGTTCACCAGCGGTCATTTTTCAATGGAAACAAATAAATTTTCGATAATGCCATGCTCTGAACTTACAAAAGCTGGTGCTGCGAGATGGCCAGGAGATGGCAGTGCTGAGTGTTACACCCTCATGTGCATGGGATTTATTCAGATACTGTACCTGGTATTCCTAGCACAAGCCACTCATTAATGGAATTGGCAATGCAACAATTAATCCTGCTGTAATGGAGTGACTCGTGCAGCCAGTTATGGCTGCAAAGTTTGGTCGTACATGTTATGTATATCGTTTATTGTTAAATTTGAATCACAGTTCCTATGATCACTGTTACATTGTTTTTATAGCTTTATTTAGGTGATTTCGAGAACGTTTTGGTTTAGCCATGTTTGTTTGTTGTAGTACAGAGTTAGCCTGATAACTTTAATCAAAATTGTCTTATGGTTGTTATTGTTTGACTTGCATCCCACTGGGATTTTTGCACACAGCGTTGAAATACGGTGTTTTTTCTGGAAGACTTTGCTGTTTTTTCCTGGATTTTTATGTTGCGTGTAGCCACTTTAAGATGTTTCTTGTTCATGTTTTTGTTTGTTGCGGTTGCACCCGAGTCAAGAGCCGCATGGCTCACAGGGTTATACCTAATAAAGGAAACTGAATCAATCTCCCGTACAGAAGCTGATTTCATCCCATTATGAGGGGGACGGGGGCATTATACATTGATGTAGATCAATATTAAACACTGTAAAGCAGGTCATGCTGTATGGTGCTGTGATCACTTCTTTGAGATGGCATGCTTCGTCGGGAAATGGGGAAGCTTTCATAATAAACGTTAGTCACATGGCTGCTTAAAATAAAATCGGCCGAAAACACACTTTCCTGCCAAAACTTTCAATCGTTTTACTCGGCAGTAAACCACAGACTCCCCAAACTTCAGTCAGCAGAATTTTTATTTCCGCGCCTGATGACTGTTGTGTAATCCCCAGAGAATGGTAGCACATAAATGGGTTGTTAGGTATTGTAATTTTAATACAATGCTCCTGAGAATTCACCGAACATTTTACCCCAGGAACATTGGGTGTGGTCTTTAATCCACTAACAATGAAATGCAGATTCGCAGACTTGAATCCAGTCCACAAGTTGTGAAACAAAATGCCCACGTATTCAGCAAATAACTTTTATGTCACTCAACAGATTTTTTTTTATCGTAATCCTAGCCCTCATTAAAGTTATTGTTTTCTTTGTGTGAGTTTGTGAATAGATGGCACATTAAGGGTCTGACGATGCATCGATTGAATGTTCATTCTTAAGATGGCGCAACGATTCGTGTGATAGAATCCGTGTCTGGATAAAGGCCTCCCCACATCATGTCAGTCACAGAGATCGCGTCAGTCACAGAGACCATACTTCAATACTCTGGTCAGTGCTGGCTGAGGGGGGGGGGGTGGACCCAGGACTGGTTTGGGGGTCAGACATCACTCTCTACAGATGACGTTCACCGTGGCCAGGAATCTAACTCAGGTTACCGGCTTCAAACCACTACGCCACCCACGCTATTTGCATTACAAAGCTGACTATTACGTGAAACCCGTCCTCCCGGTCAAGACTGCTTCTAAGAACACTGCACGCTCAGCGAACGCGGCGGTGTTTGTTATCCAATTCCCATACAGTACTCCAGCTGTAAACACAAATGAGTCTGTGCACCAGATGCACCCCACCCAACTCCACTCGTATTTGCCAAGTGCCACCTCAGCTCAGGCACGCGGACGATGTGTTTACAAAGACGCCTCTCGTGCAATGAAATGGCAACGCGCATCGGTACGTGTACAGCGAGCGTGGTGTTGATCCAATGCCGGGCGACAGCCTACTCACGCCGTGTGGATAGTCATGGTTAAATTGATCATACTTCACCACACTGGTGGGTACAGGTTGGTAACTAAACTAAAACCTTTTATATTCCACCACATAAGGCCCACTGAGATATACAGCTCTTTTTCAGAAGCGACCTGGCCACAAATAATAGCTCAATGAAGTGACGTGTCACGTGAAAGTGTATAGCAGCCAAATACTCTAAACTGCATGAATCTAAGCGTGGAGGGAAAAACCGGAGGACCCCGAGAACAATCCACACGACCACAGGGAGAAGATTCAAACTCCAAATATGCAGGCGCCAGGGTTGGGATCAACCCCACGATCTCTTGTATACCAGGCAGAGGTCGCAAATGGGTTTTGATTCCTTACCCGTACCCGGCAGCACCAGGGTCGAAAATGGGTACCCGTACCCTACCCGATACCCGACTACCCGTACCCGGCCGGGTATCGGGTAGGGTACGGGTACCCGATTGCGACCTCTGGGATGAAGCCATGTTGCAGGCGCGGGTGGGTTGATTCTAGGAACTTGAATTGTGAGAAGAGACAAGACGTTGGGAAATGAGTGACAAACGGTGACTCACCAGTGACTCACGGCCTACCCGTACCCGGCCGCACCAGCGTCGCAAACGGGTACCTGTACCCGGCTGGGTACGGGTAACCGGGTATCGGGTAGGGTACGGGTATCGGGTACCCGGTTGCGACCTCTGATACCAGGCGAGGAAGTTAACATCTCGCCACCGTGGTGGTCAAGGCGTCTTGTGGAGACACGGTGGCAAAAGATGTACAGGGCAACACTGCCCTCTAATGCCCACCACGTAGCCTCAAAATCGACAACACCTGTTATTACGGATGCTATTTCCATCACCCAAGCACCACCCAGGCTCAAGCTCTGCTTAGCTTCTAAGATCAGGTGATTTGGTAACAAGCTACACACCTCTAAAACACAAAGATTTAAAAAAATACATTTTGAAATAATGTCTTTTTACCCAGAAAAGCCACACCAAGTGCAAAATGTACTTATGAGGGAGGGTCCCTGCATTGAGTAGTTTGGCCAACGCCAGTGACTGCGTTAGTAGTTTTTATTTTTTAATCCGATGCGATGGGACAGGTTTAACCCCTTGACACGCTGCTCGTCGGCAGTGAGTGTGTGGATTTTGTATGTTCTCCCCCCGTTCTGCATGGGTCTTCCTCAAGTGCACTGTCCCCCCGATGGTCACTCCTGACGGTCACTGGCGAGACGGTGGCGCACTTGACCGTGACGCTGTACGTGAGGAAACCCTCATGCAGAGCAGGGGGCAAAACACACAGACTCCACACTCTCACTCACTCACACTCCAAAGAGAAAGAAAGCCCTTCAACCTCCAAAACACTGTTGGGGCAAATGTTAACAAACACGGGCAAGGGCACAACACTCTGTCTTAGTACAGAAGGAAAAGGATGACGATTAGTCCACCTGCTGCACTGGCTTCTCCTGGCGAGCCAGGATATGGCTGCAGCCCTGCATTATTTCAAGGGGGGTTCCACGGCCTTTGTGCGACCTACCAACCCTTGTTGCCTCCAGAGTGCTGGATTACATGCTTGCATAGCCACCACAGCTTGGCTAAATTCTAAAACCAAAGTGCAATCTGTGCAAGAAAATATGTGACGGTAAACTGGACTTCAGTCATGCGTACAGAAGTTGGGTTTCGTGAATAGAGGTCAGAATAACACGGGGAGGAAGCAGTAATATATAATTTATAAGAATCATTATTGCCATCAGAGGCCACGGAGATTGCAAGTCCCGAGGGAATATTGCATTAACAAGTGCATGGCTATAGCTCATTAGTTAATCTACTGCTTGAGTGAGGGCCTCCCCTCGATGTGAATGCAGTGAAAGTTATTTGACCATACTCCACCATTCTGGGCAAGTATGGAGTGGTAAAGGTGGGGAGAATGCAAAACAATAATGTATGTATGTACGTTGAACTTCATTCGCACCGTACGTAGCCAAACGTGCTAATCGGATGTGCAGGATGGATTTTGCTTCACAGGTACACCAGTGACAAAATCGAATTTATACAGGAGAATACCAAACACGTCCCAATGAGAATAGGGGGGGGGGGGGGGAGCAAAACAAGAGGGCGGTGGTGCGGTTGGGGAGCGGAAATGAAGATATTAACCCAGAGAGACAGGAAGGAGGCGACATGTGGAAGGGAAAGAGAGAGATTCATGGCTAAAAATGAAACTAAAAGACCAGGGCCAAAATTAGTCCAAGAAGTCCTTATGAAACCGTGGTCTAGTGCCAGGGCAGCTGGGGCAGCCAAGGGATCAGAGCAAATGAAACGCAGGGCACCCATTAAGGGCGATTTGGCCTACGACTGAATGACCGTTAAGCCAAGCAGGGTTGAGCCCAATTCGTGCTCGGCTTGGGAGACTGTCAGGGAAAACCAGGAATTGTCGGCTTGGGCTCCGATGTGGTCTGGAGATGGTAATACCACAATGGATTATAGACTCTAAATGTGCCCACTCACGTTTGTGGTGGGTTTTTTCTCCAGACACTCTGGTTTTCTTCCGCTTGTCAAGCAATCATTCGTCGAATTGGGCAATATTTTTTCTGAAGTTCGTCGAATTGGCCAATTCGACGAACTTCAGAAAAAAAAGGCGGTGAGAATAAATGAGGCTTTTCTGGGTAAATTGCAGGCGCTGTTATCTTGTCAAGTGTTGTGCTGTGGCAACGCGAGGCTGCAGCCCTGCAATTGCGTGTTCACTCCACTGCTGGCAGAAGGGCCTCCGACAGGGGCGAGCTCTGGAGAACCGCTCCAGACTCTATAGGGTTTTTGGCCTACCCCCTTTCCGCGTTGGCCAGACGTTTGGGAAGAGGTGCCAGTTCTCCCACACTCCACCGCATCACAACCGACCTGACGATTGACCCGCCTGTGGCGTCGCCCATTTATACTGCCGGGTGGACAGAGGCAGAGGGGGAGATCGAATCGAACTGATGACCGCTGATTAGCACGGTCAGCTACGTACGGTGCGAAAGAGGTTCAACATGCGTACGACCTATGGATTGCAAGTCCAGTGCGCTAACCATTACACCACAACATCCCTTACGTTGTGCATCGAAGCATAAATTAGAGCGTTCGCGCCGTATACACCAACAATAGGACACACCACTGCTCACAGCAATAAAATGAGACCCAAACTAAGAGTCAAGATTTTCCATTCGACATGCTTGCCCTATACAGTGATACCTCGGTTCACGAACGCTTCTGTTCACGAACAACTTGGTTCACGAACAGAAAAGTTAATAAAAATATGCTCCGGTTCACGAACTCCGCTTCGGTTCACGAACAGGTGCCGCAGCCATTTTAATGCTATTTCCAGGCTGTCACATGGTCGTGACTTCCCGTAGGAAGATCGTGGAGAGAAGAAGAGACACAGAAAGAAGTACTGTGAGTACTGTGAAGACACTTTCAGTGACTTTTTGCTTTTTGGTGTGCTTTTTAGCACATACAGTACTGTACTACTGTACTGTACAATACTGTACTTACTGTATTGTACAGTTCACCCGTTTGAGTGCTTACTGAAGTCATCTCAAGCAAGATTAGTGTTCTCTCTTTATACATTACTATACTGTACAGTACTAATGTGTATTGTAATTTGTTTCATATTTTTGTGCTTCAAAAACCAAGAAAAAAGGTCAGAACGGATTAACCGGATTTACATTGAACCCTATGGGAAAATGTGCCTCGGTTCACGACCAATTCGGTTCGCGACCAGAGTCGGTTCACGAATTAAGTTCGTGAACCGAGGTATCACTGTAATTTCTTCGCGAATGCAACTTCATAGCTGTGATCAAGGGGGCAATCGAATGTCGTCATACAGTAAACCGCTGCAGCCTGCGCTTCTTCAAACGAAGGAGGAACAGGCAAAACTACACATTGCCCTCTCCTGAAGCCCTCTCGTTGTGACTAGCAGAGCTCGACATTGGCATTTATCTCCTGAAAACATCGACACGCACAAGAGTAGAATCAACCAATGTGATTTATGTACAGCCCTTTGTCAATCCACTACTGGATGGAGGCCTCTCAGTTGAATTGGGTTGCTTGACCATATTTCACGAGGCTGGTCAGTGTGGGTTAAAGGGCGGGTGGTGGTGATGACTCGGGACCTCAGGTCGCCAGGTTCATAGTGCAGTGCAATAACCACGACGTCACCTCTAACCCCATATTCCTTACAAAATTTCTACCATGAGAGACAAATTAGTCATAAATGTTAGAAGACAAGTTATATATATCTAGCAGTGGAGTTGTGGAACAATTCCATTTCCCGACAATTCCTGGACTTGTAGCCGTTCAGTCTCACACATTGATTTGTGATTCAATGACACGTGACGTTATGTGCACGGCCCTTTATCAATCGAGTTCTGGGTGAAGGCCTTCTGATACCTTATCAGCCTACAGGTTTGTATGACCCTACTTCACCAAGGGGGTCATGACCAGGACCGGTTCAGATATCACTCATATTCTTAGGTTTTTTCGGTAAAGTCATGTAGGTAAAAAATTAAAATTAATAAAAGTAAAATAAAAATAAAATAAAAATCACAGATATCACTCGCCACTGATGCGTTGTCCGTGGCCCGTAATTGAACCGAGGTTGCTGCACTAACCACTGCGCCACCGCTCTGCCCAAATGACGTGCGAATAGAAAACAAAACATCTATTCTCACAGGCGCCATTTGCCGCGTGTATTTGGCGATTTTGAGCAACGGGCCGACGTTTCGCCACTACACACTGCCGTTGTCAGCGCTGGAGAAGTTTCCACAGGTGCCTCTGTGGACCGTCACTCGCACAGCTGCCCTCGTAGACATGCGAATGTGGCGTTACTGTCTTCGTGACGCTGCTCAGCACGTTTTCTTAAATCCAGCTTAGCCATTTTACATTCACCGAGCCTCGTAGGGCAATGTGCAGAAACTCCACGAATGAAAAATTTACCGTACATTTCTTGAAACATGGAAGATAATGTTTGTTAAGATGTGCTTTTTATAAATATAAACATATGAGACATCAACGTAAATGTCTCATAACATCAATGCACATTTTCTATCAATGTAGTGGACATGTAATGATGATCCATAATCGGTTCACTGCTGGATGAAGGCCTCTCCAAAGCCCAACGATATTTCTCACGATCCTGCAAATGTAACAAACCATCTGGCTCCTGCGCAGGAGCTGATTCTATCACTCCATCTCCATCGCTGACATCATCTCGGGCAGCGGATTCTATCCTTTGGCTTTTTAATAATATTGCAGCCAGTAAACCATGATATATTGGACTGTATCAGAAATACTTTATTTTTAAATAATGTATTATGTAAATTGTTAATAAAGTAAGAGACAAAGGTCGTTTCACCAGGTCAAATAAAATAACATATTTGTTCATCAGCTTGCGAATCGGTCTCTAGTTTACATGAATACAAATTCTGCTGTTAATCCTTGGGCCGCAACCCAGTGAGGAATGGAACGTTCCAACCAAGACGTCAACGTTGACCCAACGTTGACCCAACGTTGGCCCAACGTTGACCCAATGTTGACCCAATGTTGACCCGACGTTGACCCAACGTTGACCCGACGTTGACCCAACGTTGACCCAATGTTGACCCGACGTTGACCCGACGTTGACCCAACGTTGACCCAACGTTGACCCGACGTTGACCCAACGTTGGCCCAACGTTGACCCAATGTTGACCCAATGTTGACCCGACGTTGACCCAACGTTGACCCAATGTTGACCCGACGTTGACCCAATGTTGACCCGACGTTGACCCAACGTTGACCCAATGTTGACCCGACGTTGACCCAACGTTGACCCGACGTTGACCCAACGTTGGCCCAACGTTGACCCAACGTTGGCATGTTTACAATACTTGGAAGGCTCATGTAGACGTCGACTGTTGGACCTTATCGTATTTGTTTGAGTGAATTAGAGATCCGTACAGAGATAGATACATTTAGATAGGCAGTTCGTACTGATGACACACATTTCACCCCTGTTAAACAAGCGATTACATAAACAGTCAAAGATCCCCGTATAGCCTCATTAGCCTGCACAGACTGGCGGGGCAAGTGCTGTTAGCGAGCAGCACCTACGAAGGCCGGCACGGCACACGAGGGGGTGGGTGGCCAGCACCACGCCAGGCCGCCTTCGTCTCCCCGGTGGCGACGAATTTACACACTGCACCAGGGACTTATTTGAGGCCGAGTCGACCTAGGGGAGGCCCAGGACAGGTTCAGATAATCGTCACTCGTGTTGGCCGTGAGCGGGAATCGAACTCGGGTCGCCGGGTTCGTAGCGCAGCGCCGCGCGCTAACCGCTACACCATCGCGCCCCACAACAGCGTCTGTACACCTGAGGTGTGGACTCGAGTCATGTGACTTGGACTCGAGTCAGACTCGAGTCATGAATTTGATGACTTCAGACTCGACTTGGACTTGCATAACAATGACTTTGTCCCACCTCTGAGGTGTGGACTCGAGTCATGTGACTTGGACTCGAGTCAGACTCGAGTCATGAATTTGATGACTTCAGACTCGACTTGGACTTGCATAACAATGACTTTGTCCCACCTCTGAGGTGTGGACTCGAGTCATGTGACTTGGACTCGAGTCAGACTCGAGTCATGAATTTGATGACTTCAGACTCGACTTGGACTTGCATAACAATGACTTTGTCCCACCTCTGCTGTACACACAATGGTGTACACACACACAATGGTGTACACTCACACTCGCATGCTCCCACGTCTCTCAGCTATCCTCCTTCTGGTCTTTAAACCACAACCCGCATACACCAGCGTGGAGAAGTTTCGATCAATCCCCGCGATTGACACGGACGGCGCGCGGCGGCCCTCATTCGGCAGCGCACCGACAAAAGCGCTTACTCCAGATACTGTACCAGGTAATTGCGAATTCACGTCAGGATTTTACCTAACAAGCTGGCAATTGGGGTGTCAAATCCCTTCGGGGCGAACGTTGACGCGTTTAAACGCTGCGGTTACGTAAGGTGATGCACGTGCGTTACGTCTATGTCTGCGTGTGTGTGTATACCGCGTAGATGTGGTCAGTCTGGTCGAGACGCGTATGGGAGGAAGGCGGCCAGGTTGGGTAGTCACGACGACCACTTTTGTGTTCCAGTGAGCGAGATGCAACACGCATGAGAATGAGAGTGGGTAAAAGGGGCTTTAGGAACAACAACTAAACGCGATAACTCACAATGCGTGGTTGTTTTGATACACAGTATAACCTCACCTGAAATGTAATTCAATTGACAATCTGATATTGATTGATGGAAAATGACTTATTTACCCTTCATGGCTTAAATACCAGTGTTAGCATGTTCCAGACAGACACCAATTACAAAGGCACCGAGTCTGCATTAACCACACATGCCTGTGGTATAAAGGGGTCCCACCTATACTCGATCCTGTCGAGAGATGTATTGCACCGGTCCTGTGGCCACCCACCCTCCTCCAATCCCTGCACCAACATAGACAGACGAGAGTGGTGAAGTATGGTCAAATAGATGTCGAGATGTAATATCAAAGCTATGATTGCGGTAATTGTGTGGGGCTGGTGGAGGGTGGGTGTAGTCTGCAACCAAATACGTAATGGAGCAGCAAGTGAAGAGTTATATTCTTAGTTATTTTGGTAAAGTCACGTAGAAGGGAAATAATAAAGTAATACAAATAAAACATTATTAAAAATTAATATTTGTATGTAATTTTTATTCTTTTATTTCCCTTCTACGTGACTTTACCGAAAGAACCAAGAATATGAATCCCTCCAGTCACGAAAGCTTTAAATCGAAATTTAAAGTGAAGAGTTAGTTGATGGGTGGATTCGATAATTGTGAATTGACCGAGCATGGTGGAACTGGTTGAGGATATTTAATGACAGAGCAGGGCACGGGGCAGGCACGGAGTCTTCTAACGCTGCATGAGTCGCTGCATGAGTTGCTGCATGAGTGTTTGCAGCTTAAAGTGGTCGAAATAACGAAGTTCACAATCTCGACGTGGCGAAGTTCGTTTGAGAAAAGACACCCATGTCCGACACGGTACGGGGAAGTCCTTCATCCAGCAGTGCAGTCGCAAAGAGCTGTGGGTGTACGTGGATTTAGAATTGCACGCAACGCGTCATGCACTGGCCTGCATTGTGAAGACTGGTAACGAGACGTCTCTTCTGTGTGTTTGAAACGTCGTGAGTAATTTGCTTTTATTCTTTTCAATTTATTATTTTATTTATAATTGTGGTTAATTTTTATTTTTTATTTTTTTATATCTACGTGACTTTACCGAAAGAACAAAGAATATGAATTCCTGCAGTCACGAAAGTTAAGTCAAAATTTGTTCCATACCTGTCAACAAACCCTTGTCACTGCCCTACCTTATTTACAGACCAATTCAGACCTAATTGGTCACCACGTGCCCCTTAGAAATATCAACGTTCATCAAACAAAGTCCCATCACATAGGATAAACACACACAAATCGATAAAAATAATGTTTTGCCCTATTGAAAACGGCTGTACGCCGTATGGACCTGAAAACTAAAATTCCCTTTCCAAGTATGCGGGATAAAGCGTGTGGTTTGACAGTCGGTGCTCGCTAACAGCACTTGCCCCAACACTCTGTAGAGGCTACACGGGGGTGGGGTGGAACCTTTGTCTTTTGGTTCAGCGAGCGGCCACTCTTTGTTTGGAACCTCGTTTGTTTACAATCAAACCGCGTTCGCATTAACAAAACAACAAAGACAAAGACCCCCCGTATAGCCTGTAACAGACTGTTGGGGCAAGTGCTGTTAGCGAGCACCTATAAAGGCCCGCACGGCACACGAGGGGGTGGGTTGCCAACACCACGCCCGGCCGCCTTTGTCTCCCCGCTGACGAATGTTTACACATCGCAGCAGGTACTCATTTTGAGGCTGAGTCGACATAGGACAGGCCCAGGAACCGGTTCAGATAATCGTCACCGGTGGTTGTTGGCCGTGAAGCGGGAAATCGAACCCGGGTCGCCGAATTCGTAGCGCAGCGTAGCGCTAACCGCTGCACCACCGCTCCACACGAACAAAGAACACACACACGCACATACACACACACACACTATCTTCAGCCATGATCATCCCCCAATCGGTCACCACCACCATCTCAATCATCCCGCTTACGGCAGTCCCAGTGTCAAGCTCTCTACAACAAACACATCACGTACAGAATTGCATGCGCACGTACATTCACCCTGTGCGCGCACGTGTGTGTGTGTGTGCAATCTAGGATCGTACAAGCCACGTGCAGATGGAGCCTGCGCAATGATGATGATGATGACGATGACCCCCAGATGATGATCACCGGCGAACTGTTGAGTCTGCGACAATCACTCCCTCCATTCCTGCTGATGATCGATCCGAGTCGATGCCGGAGTCAGCCGATCGATTGCGGTCGTGATGACAGCCGCGCACAATGGTAACGATGAAATACAAGGATCTTCCCCGTATAAAGTGCTGTGAGCGAGTAGCACCTATGAAGGAGGGGGGTGTGACCAGCACCACTCCACGCCCGGCCGCCTTTGTCTCCCCAGTGGCGATGTTTACTCGATCTGGACAAGGAGCGGTTCAGAGATGATCGTGACCGGCGTTGGCCGTGTGCGGGGATTGAACTCGTGGCGCCGCGGTCGAAGCGCGGCACGCCGGACGGCACTACACCACCGCTCCCCCAACACAAACGCAACACTCACACAACACACACAAAACACACACAACACTCACACACAACACTCACACACAACACCACACCCAATTACACACCACTTACACAACACACAGCACACACACACCACTCACACACAACACACACACACCACTTACACACAACACACTCACACACCACTCACACACAACACACTCACACACCACTCACACACAACACACTCACACACCACTCACACACAACACACTCACACACCACTCACACACAACACACTCACACCACTCACACACACACTCACACACCACTTACACACAACACACACAACACTCACACACACCACACACAACACAAACGCAACACTCACACACACACTAAACACAACACACATCACTTACACAACACACACAACACTCACACACAACACACACACAACACTCACACACAACACACACACACCACTTACACAACACTCACACACAACTTACACAACACTCACAACACACACACAACACTCACAACACACACTCGCACACAACACACACACAACACTCACACACGCACAACACACACACACAACCCTCACACACAACACACACACGCAGCATACACACACAGCACACACCACACACAACACACACACCACACACACACACAGCACACACACAGCACACACACCACACACGCACACACACAGCACACCACACACACACAGCACTTACACAACACTCACACACAACACACACACAGCACACACACAGCACACACACCACACATACACAACACTCACACACAACACTCACGCACAACACACACACAGCACACACAACACACACACAGCACACACTAACAACACACACACACACCACACACAGCACACACTAACAACACACACACACACCACACACAGCACACACTAACAACACACACACACACACCACACACAGCACACACTAACAACACACACACACCACACACAGCACACACACACCACACACACACAGCACACACACACACCACTCACGCACAACACACACGCACAACACAAACGCACAACACACACGCACAACACACACACACAGCACACACACACAGGACACACCACACACACAACACACACACCACACACAGCACACACACAGCACACACTAACAACACACACCACACACAGCACACACTAACAACACACACCACACACAACACACACACAGCACACACTAACAACACACCACACACAACACTCACACACAACACACACCACACACTAACAACAACACACACACCACAGACAGCGCCTGTACCTCCAGTCTCGATTGCTCACGACCCCGGGAATGGTGAAGCACGGCGATGTCACGTGACTTAAACCCCCCCCCCCCTTACTCCCCCCCCCACCACTACAGTCAACACCAAAGACAAAGATCCCCCGCGTAGCCTGCAACAGACTGTCGGGGCAAGTGCTGTTAGCGAGCAGTTTACATATGAAGGCGGCACACGCAAAGGGGTTAACGGTGGCCAGTAACCACGCCCGGCCGCCTTTGTCTCCCCCCAGTGGCGATGTTTACACACCGGACCGGGTAACCTATTTAAGGCTGAGTTCACTCAGGGGAGACCCAGAACCGGTTCAGAAAATCGTCACTGGGTTGACCACTACACGTGCTCACTCACGCGCGGAGAGTTAGTGGAGGCCGCTCTCTGCTATATGCATAATAAGCACAGAGTAGCCGATAAGAGTGATATAGCGCGCCTGATGTAGCAGCATGCTTAAAGCTTTCGTGATTGCTGGGTTCAAATGATTTTTTTTATTAATTTGAACCTATCTAAAATAATATATTATTTTATTATGTTTTATTTTTATTATTTTATTACTTCCCTTCTACGTGACTTTACCGAAAGAACCAAGAAGATGAATCCCTGCTAGTCACGAAAGCTTTAAATCGAAATCTATCTACGTGACTTTACCGAAAGACCCAAATAATATAGCAGCATGATGTCTATGAATATTGAACGTCTCCACTGTCCTCGTGTTGCTGTTGTTATTGGTCATGATCAGCAGCTATGGTCTATCCACTGCTGGGTGAAGACTTTTCCATCATCATCATCATCATCATAAGGAGCAGAGGCAATTGTCTAACTCTAACCAATAGTGGGGGTACCACGATGGCGAGATTTAACTACCTCGCCTGGTATACAGGAGGTTGTGGGTTCAATCCCGTGGTCGCGTGGGGTTTTCTCCGGGTCCTCCAGTTTTTATTTCCATATTTAGAAACGTGCGTTTAGAGTTTAGAGGCTGCTATAAATTCCCACGTGATAAGCCACTTCATTGCGCTATCATTTGCGGTCAGATCGCGTCTGAAAAAGAGTTTTACCTGGAAAAAAAATAGCTCGGAGAAGTTCATAGTTAATTAAGAAGGATGCGTCCCAACCCCCTGCCTAGGAGCATTTACATATCTTCATATTCAATGATTGATTTTTTTCGGGGAGGGTTGTTTAAAAAAACTTGGCTTCATCAGAAAAAACAAATATGGATCAGTGTACGGTATTGGCTACCAAAACGTACGTTTTAAGTGTTCTCTCAATTGTCTTTGCCGCCTTTATCCATGCGCGTTGCTCATCTAGTTTCAGCCACATTCAAAACATTCGCCTCTCCGTGATTCTGAGTGCTATTTTAAGATATCCTTCCACTTCCCCAATGAACGTTCCCGTTTCGTATCATACCAGGGAATATACTGTACCCTGCATTGACAACCGCTGTGAGCCAACTGGCATTTCACTTTTCATTATTCAATTCAGTTTCCAAAAACCACTGCAATTTTGCCCGTAATTCCACCAGTGGATTGAATCGGTTTTCTCCCGGACCGCCTTCAATAGCTGTACAGGGGGCAAGTGTGGTGCCACGTGACACAGAGCAACTCCGCAAGCGCCGCGACTCTCCCCTGGCCCCGACCCTGAGCACACACACACGCACGCAGAGCACACACGTAGTGTCCCAGCGGGGGATTGCCTGGCACAACGGGTTTTAATCCGAAGGGTCCTTAGAGGGAAAGTCCCACGGTTTCCCGATGCCAGGAGATTGGCCTACCATCGCAGGACAAGTCACATTGCGGTGCCCCTAAATTGGCTTAAAGTTGTATAGGCGCACAAAAGTTCACCGGGCCAGCCGCAATGAGTCATGCACGACATCGGGGAGTTGCGCTGGGGCGAAATATTAAGCGAGCAGAGCAGACAATGAGGTCAGGGGATCGCAGCGCCACAGACCGAATGCACACTGGCAGGGTGTGTGTTCGTTAGCCGGACGTACTTCCAGATTAAACAGGTTGAGTCAGAAATGAATGAGTACAGGTGCATAGACAATAGGTAGCAAAAGTAACCATCGTAACGCTTCCATGTAAGGGAAGAAAAACGGGCGAAAATCACAGGTAGGCGCACAATTGGCTGCGCGGGATAACGTAACCCTGGATTTTTTAAGTCAAGCGGCATAAAAGGAGAGCCAAAGACCGTTCTAGAGGAGATCTCATCTTCAACATCTTGGTCGCCAAGACTCCCCCCCCCCTCTGCCGTCCTGCCTCCTCGAGCCTGCTCGCAGCATCCGTGTGATGCCAGCGAGTGCCAGCTACGAGGCAGCGATAGGCGAGGTGTTTTCGTCATCCTCCCTCCGACTCTCACAGCGTCCGTGCGACGCCGTGAGTACAGCCGCGAGGTACGTGATTGGGCGTGTGAGTGTTGGGGGATTTGGATAACAGTAGGCTAGGCTCTGCTCAAACTTAATTTGGAGCTTTCGTGACTGCAGGAATTACTCTTTGGTTCTTTCCGGTAAAGTCACGTATAAAGGTAAAATAATAAATTCAATACTAGCATACGACGTTTCGATTGCAACACAAGCAATCATCATCAGGTATAAATGAAATAGAAACACAAATCTGGTATACTTAGAAATGGAATGTAATACAACAGAGAGTCGGATAACATAACAGTCAACACCCTACCTGCTTGATTACGTTCTTCCTGAAAATGCTAAATTTGAGAGAGAGATAAAACACAGAACCAGAGACATATAGACAGACATATAAGCGTTAGCATCTGCTCGCAGAATATTCCCTCCGGGCAGTGTAGGGTTTGAGTCGTGAATAAACGTTAGCACAGAGCATCATCGGTGGCAGTGTCTGTGATTCGTGTGTGGAGCGGCCGCGTGGGCAGACGCGCGGCGAGAGTGATGGGCAGAGCCGCAGCACGAGCGCTCGTTGAGATAATCGCCTGCAGGGGCGCGCGTGTTCGCGCCGCCGCGTTAGCATCTGTAGTGTAGTAAAACGACACTACTCTATTGGCCCGGTATGGGGGCTGTAGGCAGGTGTCACGGGGGTCGTGTCGGGCCGTGACACTCTGCGTGAACCCAACAGGACACGTGATAAAGGGGGGCCAGGGGGGTCACGTGGTTGGGGGCTCTGGCCTTCCCGAAGGATCGGGAAGGGGGGCGTGGCCTGGGCTGTTCTGCTGGGTCAACTCTGGGATGAAGCCACCATCTACGATCCTCGGTCTCTGGTCCAGGAATGTAGTATCTCGGTGTGTTAGCCAAGTTAGGAACGGTGGTTACCACCACCTCTGTCGTTATCCTGTTAATGTTAAGAGTTACCCGTTGTGTTTAGCTAATAAATAGTGTTGCGTACAAAGTCCCAGTGTGCGCCTGAATTAAACCCACTACACGTCAGTGGTGGTGTACGGGGGCGTGTGTGGAATAACCCCGGGCGGCGGCGAGCCAGCAATTTGGATACGGCCCTCCGAGAGGCAGAGGTCGCAAACGGGTTTTGATTCCTTACCCGTACCCGTACCCGGCCGCACCAGGGTCGCAAATGGGTACCCGTAGCCGTACCCGGCCGGGTACGGGTAGCCGTTCTCTACCCGTACCCTACCCTACCCGAAATGAGTGACAAACGGCTACTCACCAGTGATTGACGGCCTACCCGTTCCCGTACCCGGCCGCACCAGGGTCGCAAACGACTACCCGTACCCGTACCCGGCCGGGTAGCCGGGTATCGGGTAGGGTATCGGGTACCCGGTTGCGACCTCTGCCGAGAGGGCGCTAGCTCGGGCGGGGGGGGGGGGGCGATCGACGGCGGTGGAGGAAGAGTGGAGGTGGCGGGAGTCTCGCTCATCCCACGCGAGCATGCTCATGCAATTAAATAATAAAAACAGCAGCAGCAAGCACGTGCTGGAGGCCAAATTGAGCAGTGACGTGGCGCATCACGCACTTTTTAAATAATTTTTATTCCAAAAACAGCGGTGCGTGAATTGAAAACTTCAAAGCATTGAGTGCGGGGCCGTTAAAAGTACGGGGCTCGTAGCATATGTAGCTCCTTTTGCTCCTAGGATAATCCGGCACAGGGTGGGTGATGGTGGAATTTGTCACACGTACGTTGCACTTCTTTCTCACCGTACGTAGCCAACCGCGCTGAACGGAAGCTTGCGGGATTGGGGCTGATGCAAAAATAGCAGCAGCAGCAGCAGCAGCCAAAACGTACGCAACGATTGCAGAGTGAAACGTGCACTCAATGCGTTCATTAGTAAACACGATTTGGCGGCGATGCTGCGTTGGCAGCGGTGCACGAGCACAGTTAACAACAACAACAACAGCGGCAGCAGATCTCGCGTTGTTGAATGTGAAGCGCATGGGTACAAAGGGGCCTTGCGTGACTTCAAGAGCGATACACACGACTCCGCTGTGCGTGACGCCGTTACTTTGCTTGACCATCTGAATGTGAAATTGAAGCCGTTACTCTGCATCTACATCAGCCGTACGAAAGAATAAGCAGTCACAGGAGTGAACAAACCCCAATGTTGACGTCCTCCACGGATATGGATCGACGAGATGATCATCTCATGTGCAGGAGCGCGTTCGGGGGGCGGGCAACCAGCGGTGCTGCAGCCGCATGTGGCTCTTTAAGGACCGCTTCGTAATGTTCTTCACATGTATTGGGGCTCTAGAAATACGTCTCTCTTTGTTATTTAGGTTGCCGATCCCTGAGTCAGATGGATTGTTATTATAACCATCGTGCGGCAGCCAGAGATGGCTACGACTTGGAGGTGCTTTCGTCCAGCAGCGGATCGATCGTCACTGATATGGTCTATGTAATGAGTTCACTGGAATCAGTTTCATTCATTGCAGTTTCATTTATTAGGTGTAGCCCTGTGAGCCATTCGGCTCTTGAATCGGGTGCAACCGCAACAAGCAAAAAACGAAAACATGAACAAGAAAACATCTTAAAGTTACTATGCGCAAACAGAAAAATCCAGGAAAAACAGGAAAAATCTTCCAGAAAAAGCACCGTACACCAACGCTGTGTGCAAA